AGCTTAGCCTGGAGAGCATCAGCAGAGGTTCTTACAGTCGGATTTGTCATCAGTTCTGTAATTGTCATTGTTTGATCCCTCCTTCCTGCTTTGCAAGTTTGCCACTGTCCTGGGCCCAGCCAAGGAGCGCACTGTGGTGTTGGTGGGGTCCCTCAGAAGCCCTCGTTCTGTCAGTGCCAAAGGGGGCAGCTGTGATTCTTATTTCTTTTCCCAGAGGGGTGCTTTTTCTTAGGGACAAAGGGGTGGGTTTTTTCCAACAGTTCAGCAAACCAAAAATTCCTTTAGGAAAATGTTTATGTGCATATATAATTATATACTCAAGAGGAGAAAGAGGTGCAGGGGTTTTTGTTTTCCTTTTGTTGTTTGTTTAACATCTTCACATTCATGATGTGATTAACTCTGAAGTCTTACTCTGAATTCAAATCATCGCTACCAATGGGTCAGAAAGCATGCAGCCTTCTCCCTGTTTCCACAGCTGGGCTCATTGCCACCAACCCTCCCCAATAGATTTACAGGTCACAAGACTGTCAGCTTTAATGCATCCACACCATGCAACCCTCCCCCAGTCTTGCTCCACATCCCATTGGGCCAAAGAGACATGGGAGCTTCAGAGAACAGGACTCAAAAGTACTGCCCAGTTTTAAATGCCATGGTCCCTGTTGATTCCAGCAAAGCAGGGTATTTGAGAACTTGGGAGACTTTTTTCGCCCCCACAAACAAATAGTGGCAGAAGGAGATCCAGTCACATAACATTTCTGCTTTGTCCATTAGATAAAGCAAACATAGCAGCAGAGCTAGGAATGATAGAAGAAGTGATTGAAGAGATAAGGAAGAAGAATAAAGAAACAAAGAATGATTTGTGAGAAAAAGGAAAAGAGAGAAATGTAATGGAAACAAATTAGTTATTATTCAGAATAATACTTAACACTTCGACAGGATTTTCTTTCCAAGATCTCAAAGCACTGAGCTGGTTCTAATCAATTCAGCTGTGCAATCCCCCTGTGAAGTAGGAACTACAGTTGTCCTCATTTTACAGAAGATTAGAATTGAGGCATAGGGGGGAAATTGGACTTGACAAAGATTCTCTAGAACCACAAGGAGAACTGGGGTGTTTGAGATCCCAGATACCTGCTTTCACATCAGTAATGCTGTTCCCTCTCTGGATAAAAAAGTGCATTGGGAATGAAGAATAATGGAAGAGAGGGATAGAAATGGAGTGGAAAGAGAGTGTGAGAAAGAAATAGGAGAAAGGGAAGAGACAGCAGAATGGAGGAGAGAGATGTGAATCATAGACTTCACTGGATTTTGCATAGTGATTTCTTCCTCCAATTCTTTTTCATTTTTTCCTGTAAAAATTTTTAAAGAAAAATGAAAAAAAATTCCACCTATAACAAAGCAACTGTTGGCCTGTTGGGGAAGGGGTCCTTCCAAGGTTTGGCTGTTCCCTCAGGTTCTGGATTTGTGCTGTGCTTTATTGAACACATCGTTTTGTTTTCAGTGAGCACAACGAGACTTCCACAGTACAGACAGCGTGTTCCTTATCTACAGGATGAGACGAGGCTGTTTTAATAACTACCATGATGAAGATGGAGATGAACTTATATACAAGAGGAATTGCCTTCACATTACACACATTATCTTCCTACAAAGCAGCAATTGTTTTTGCAAATAACATAATATTAAATAATTGGTAGAATTTTTGCGTTTCCTGCATAGTCCAGTCTAATGGAATCTATATGAATATTGATGGATTTCTTCTGCGTAATATCACCACATAAATCCCCATGTCAGCTACTAGACTTTAGCTATAATACTGCTTTACAATGCATCCACCGACTGTAAATCAAAACAACCAACACAAGAAACTCTTTGGCAAATGTAATTCAGTACATTCGCATGGGGGTCTACAGATGATGGTGGAAGAGGATTAGACTGCCCAGTCCTTTGCATAAATCTGCTTTCCTTTTAATTTTCCTAGTCAAACTACATGCCATACTTCTGAACTTTCCAGACCAATCCAACGCCTGATGGAAATCCTCTTTTGTCAGTGGAGTTACACCAACAATGGATTTGGCCCTCCGAGGGTCAAATCAAGCCAGCCACGAGTGAGCCAACCAAATCCTGCTTTCATACCCTAGCTCGTGTCTAAAGTTTAGTGAAACACCGTTATAAAAATAAGCATTTCTGAGCTGCTAGCTTCTCTTGAGGTGGCCCCTGGACTGCAGGTTGCCAAGTATGAGGCATGACAGTCTCCTTTTCTCTAGCCTTCTCAGGAGGTTCACCTTGCTAGACCTGGGATTTACTGCCTCTGCCCCGACCACCTGCTGAGTGAAACTGGGTGGTGCACAAGTAAAGCAAAGGCTGTATCGAGAGACTAAAAGGGAGACTTAGTTACAGGGTCCAGCATCTATCTGGTGTCTGTGGAGGAAAACAGAGAAGGAGTGATGAAAGTAAACTTTCAGAAATTACTCAGAATTTTCTTCTCAAATAGAATAAGATCAGATAACGGGCCAAATTCTGGTCTTGGTGACAGTGTAACAACTCTGCTATTTGCAGCAGGTTAGTTAGAGGTAAGACATGCAGAATGACACTTTTAATAGATCATGAGTAACTTCTTTGATTTTATTCTGTACAGGAACAGATTTTAGCTCTATATCTTCTATGTAAACTTCCCCCCCCCCAAATACCCTTATTGTTTGGGCACCCCATTAAAGAAGACACAGACCTATAATCAGCTAGAGCCATGCAAGGGCTAAAAGTGTTAGGTGAAAGGGGCCTTTGGGATCAAAACAGCTGTTTACTGATGATGGATTTCATACATACAAGTTAAACTTGGAGACAGAATACTGAGTCCACAACCACATCTCCTCTGAGGCTTGGAACTTTGGATTTTATACATGATATTGGCTGTACAGATTGCTCCGCTGTTCACTTTTATGCCCTTCAGGGGTTTGATTCTCAATCCTGTCTTTGTCCATGGACAGTAGCCCATGAGCTTTATCTGAAACCTCTCTAAAACAACAAGGTTCTACTTTGGCAGACTTGGTGCCCTGGGGACAGGCTATAGTTGCCTTCATGTTTTCTTTGAGTATTTTTTAGGAAGTGTCAGTGCAAGGAACAGTTTATGAGTTTGCTGACAATACAGGAGTAATAAGCATCTCTATTGACAGTTAGCCTTTTGCAGAACAGTGTTTGCCAGTCACTTGGGAACCAAAAAGAGCAGAGAATCCCTAGAGAATCATCAGGTGAGCATTTGGGATAAAGGGTAAATATTAGGGTGCACAATATAGGATTGAAGATGAAAAGATGGGGCTGTATGTTGGGGCTGGCTCATAGGATGCAGGCATATGGATTTGAATGGAGGCCTATAAATTAGTAGGTGTATGAGCAGATGGACTGGGAATCAAAGGGGGCCCATATAGCAAGGCTATAGTGGTTAGGAAATTAGGTGCTGGGCACAGATAATGAGGCTGTTGTCACCGGCAGCGGGATTCTGGAGAATGGGTGTTGGGCATATCTAAAATCGGGAAAGTTGGGATGTGGGTGAACTGAAGTCGTCATGGGCATAGGGGTCAAGGTAAAAGGAGCGGAGGCTAAGGGCTAGGGAACCAAGCAATAATCCCAGCCAATCCTGAATTTGTCCATCTCAGTCTCAGCTGTCCAGAGAGCAATCAGATGGGCCCACATGAAGCCCCACACTTTCCACCACACAGCGCAGTTAGAGCGCAGCTGGGCTTGTTTTCTTTGTTTGCCAACCAGTGACATGGAAAACGTTTGTTGACTCAGAGTGCTTTTTTGTCGACTGATGTGTTTGGTAACTTTGTCAGATGTGACTTGTCCACACTGCTCCCCAGAGACAGGATTTGGGAAAGGGGGAGGAGGCGACGGGGGTGGAGCTGGCATCCAATCCTCTCCAATACCACCATCCCATTGTAGTGCAAAACAGAAAGGAAACAAAACCCTAGAGTGAAAGAGGAGCATCAAATGTCAGAGGAACTTGTCTGCCCTTCAGGTGGTGGGGAGGGATGGGACTTGGAGTTTTATTTTTGTAGGGTTTTTTAATAATTATTTTGGTTTTTTTGTTGTTTTTGTTTGCTTGGGTTTTTTAGAAAATTGGGGATTTGTTCTTTTTTTTTTCCTTTTTACAGACCTTCATGACAAAGCATAAAAACACAGTTATATTTATATATCTATTTATATATTTCTTCATTTCGTCGGTTGGTTTGTAAATGTTGCTCCATCCTCCTGTCTGAGCTGATTGTGTGTCACAGAAATTGGGGGTGTATATGTGAGGTTCCTCCCAACTCTGGCCTGCAAAGTCACCACGCGTGAGGTGCAGCCAACTATGGGGGAAGCCATGCTGGAGAGTGGGGATGAGGTGCACAGAGAACCCCTTGTGGGGTGCAGATAGTTACTTGGTCCTTTTCTTCATTACCAGATGGGCCAGGTCTGTACTGCCATCTCTGCTCTAGCCAGACTGTTTCCTCTGTCCTGGGAAACAGGGTGAGCAAAACAGGTTTACACATGTTGAAGAGCCCGCCGCAGAAGAGCGTATCTTTGGGGAACAGTGTTTCGTGAGCGGCATTCTCCCCTGCTTCCCCTGGCCCTTACTGCTCCCAGAAGAAAGGGGTCCTGTAAGGCAATGTTTGCCAGCTGCATTGCTTCCCAGCCCCCCTGAGGTCCTGGAAGCCAAGGGGACTTTGTGTGGCCGAGCTTTGCCCAGGTGCGGTGGAGGGCTCCCACGGAGGAAGCCACTTGTCTGCAGGCTCTTCCTGGCATGGGGAAGCGGTCGGGGCAGAGGGCAGGAGGGGCAGGGGGTCTCAGTCTTGTGTGGCGAGTGCTTGGTCCGGCGCCTTCGTGGCGAAGAGGAAGGAACTGGACTGTGGGGAGGGACGGAGAAGGTCTCTTCACCCTTCCCAGGGATGGAGGGAGGTGATCAGACAGGTACAATGTGGAGGCCTAAGCTGTCGCCCTGCAGTTTCATGTGGTTTCCATGGTAACTAGTGGCGGTCATAGGCAGCGGCAGCAGTGGGAGGTGCGGAGCCCCGGGATGTGGCACTATAATAATAAGGGGAACCTGAAAGTTAACACAGGAGAAGAATGGACTGGTTGAAAGGACAAACAGTAAAAAATAAAATAAAAAAAAAATAATCAAACGAAGAAAAGAAACAAAGGAGAACTGAAAAGGAAAGGAAAGGAAGAAAGGGAAAGGAACCAAAAGAACGAGCCTGGGGTCTCAGCTCTTGATGGGATTAGGGAAAACCAAACAGTGGAAGCCAGCCAAGGGCCACATTTTAGTGGAGAGATGCTACTGTGGCCTCTGGCTCTGAAACCCCTCTATGGCAAGGAGATCCTTTTGCTCCTTCTGGCCATCGATAAGTTGCCGAGAGGGAAGCCCATGAGCGCTGCAGCACAAATACGCCGCACCTGATCCACAGCCACAAGGAAAGTGTCAGGACCAGATGTTCTAAGCATACCTGACAAAGTATAACAGGCCACTTTTAAAACCAGGAGGGGAGAAATGAAACAAAATTGCAATGTTTTATTGCTTGGGATTTTGGTCACATTTGGCATGAAAGCTCTCTAGGTGGTTATTGAATGTGTGTTAAATAGTGATTAATTATTAAGATCACATTTACTGAGGTTTAACCACACTGGAATAAAATGTGCATCTATTATCCAGTTGTTAAACCTTAGTAAATATGTAGGTAATAGTCACAGCTGATTTATTTTACATATAACAAATCTATTCATATTGCAAAGAAATGTTGTGTTAGAAGATATGGTCTTATGGGAGCTTTTTTCCTCTCTGAAAAAAAAAAATTACTATTTATGGGCATATTAGTCACTGGAAATGGACATATCCCTGTAAGAAAACTCTGTTGGCTATTATAAATCTAGTGATTCAGCCCATCTCCTACTCTGGACACTGTTCCAGCTAGTCTAATAGGAAGACCTTCTATGGTATTTCCAGATACCCAGGAATTTACTCTGGGTTTAGCTTGGGAGAAGAGTGAAAACTCATCTGGATTTTTAATCAGACCGTGAATGGATGCTGATTGCGGCCTGAGAGAATAGCAGAATCTGAATTTAACTTCTGATCTAATCTGGAATATACTGTGGATGCAGTCCATGGAGAATTTAGAACTGAACTGGAATTCTGAACCATTTTATGAAAGAGGAATCAGTTCCAGAACAGATGCAAAACACACATGAGGTATATACCCATCTAGAGACTAGACTGGAGAGTGAGGAAAAGGCCTCTCACCTGCCCAAATACTTGAATATACACTCTTCAGAAACCAAAAAAAAAAAAAAATCAAAGAAAAGAAAACAAAGAGACAAACAGAAGGAGCGCGAAGCTGGGGGTGTGCTGTGGGAAAGAGGTACTCACTTAGTAATGCAGGGTTTCGCCAGGCCTCGTTGTAGGTTGTGTACTGAGGGTGGCTGTAGGGGTTCCCTGAGAACTCGCTCCCTGGAAGAAACCAAGGAAGGTGTGAAATACAATTAGAATGAAAATTTGCATCTGCTATTCCATCAAGCCAGTGTTCATACTGAATCTGTATGCTAGCAGGAAAACTAGTGTATGTAGCTTCCTTGCCCAGCTGGGACACTGTAGTGTTTGTTTAGCACAATGTTGCTTACCCATACAATTAAAAAATCATAACATTGACCTCTTCAGAATCAAGAAATTAGTTTAAAATAATGAAATTCAATAATACAAGTAGATAATTAAACTGGTTTAATTTTTGTTGCCTTCTGACTTCTGATTCTCAGGTTGCAGTAGGATTGCATATGCAAGGTTTTTCTGCAATTAACTATCAGCTTTCTTTTAAATAAAATCTAAGGTTTTCAGCAGCATCAAGACAGCAGGCATGGGAGCTCACAATAAACTCATTGGAACTAGTGCTGTTGATGGCAATATGTATTGCTAAGTTTTGTTCGTAGGGTACTGAGGGTGATGACGTATTTGTGGAGGAGAGTATTGTTTGGTTTTGGAAATGTTCTGAGAGTAGGGTGGGCTTAAATATAAAACAAAATGGAAAACATATGAATCAGTCTTTCTTTCTTCCTCTACATGACGGTGTTAGTCAGAAAAGTGATTCATATAGGATTAACCCCACCTTTATGCTTAGTTAGTGAGTTACACAGAAAACTTGCTGTATTCCAGTTCCAGAAAATAATTTTCTAATGATTAGCGCTTTAGGTACTATTCTGAATCTGAAAGACAAGCTGGGCTACAGCTCCCTTTTTCACATGTAGTAAAATGGGCCCAAACCGAAATATACCTGTGGGATTTGTGATCTAATAAGACTCTGACACAAGATCCAAATGTTGTAGAGTCTTCTTAAATATTCAGTTTTATTGTGCGTAAGGAGCTGAGTCTCCTTGTTTTACAGAAGGCTGTGCAGGGCTAAGGGAATTATATTTGGTAACTGAAGAGGTATGGTGCTGCATTCAAAAATAAATAAATCTCCCAGAACTTAAAAATTTATGATTCTGTTAAGTAAAAACATGCCACTACCTAATCATAACCTCAATTTAATGCAGTACCAACAGACTGGGGACAATTAAAGCCATCCGAAAGGCATTACGCACTTAAAAGACAGTGAAAGAACAGCATGACTATTAGCTTCTGGTCTGCCCTGAGGCAGGGGTGGACTTGTTAGAACAGAAGTGTTTAGAAAGCACCT